GTAGCACCGACGCGGTGGATTGCTTGAATGAAGTTTAATGACTTCACGCACAGGGTCACATTTCGTATTCAACTACGGCTGTAAAATAAATGCGAGCCGTACAGCTCGCATGAAATGCCCCAATTGAAGTGCGGACAGCAGATTTCCGTGGATTTTGCAGAGATAAAATACGTGCATGCTTTGATACGCGAAGAATGCCTGACGTTACCGTACGTCAATCTATACGCCAGAGGGTGTTTTCCGCGGACTCTGCGTTGATACGGCGCCCTATGTAAACACATGCTTTCGTTTTTCAACTGAGATGCTAACCACATAGCGAAACTATTCGGCATCTCTACCATAAAAAACACAAAGAGCACCACCGTACTGCATCTAACTTCTACATCAAGTGGGCGAATGGACAATCAAAGTAGCCATAAAATTCACATCAAAGGTTAGTGGCTCCATTTTGTCTGTACGACCCTTGCACAGTCTGCAAACCATCTGTGTAACCTTACACCACAACACCCTTCCCACGGCGGTGCCCACAGAGGCTGATCACCACCTGTCTGCGCCGCACCGGGCGGCCGTCGGCGCACGTGCTCTGCCGAGCCGCCGCGGTGTGCCTGACCGACGCCGGCCCAATCTGGGCAGCCGGACGGACGGCGGCCCCGGCGGGCCCGGACAGATTGCGGCTGGCCCTCGACCGCCGCCCGTACGCTGCCGTGACCCCGCACCATTATGGCCGGGGCCCGCCGGGCGCCCAGGTCATTTGCCGCGGCGCAAGTGGCGGCGCGGCGCCCGGCGGAGCGGCGGCAGCAGCCGTATTGCTGTGTCTGCGCCCGCATTGCACATTGACGGGCTGGCGCCCTGGGGCCATGTAAATGGCGGTTGGAGTTTGGAGAAGCGGTGAGCATTAGCCAACCGCTTCCGACCGGTGGTGCAGGGTGCAGGCAACTTGAATGCAGTCGATGCGTTAGATTGAGTAGGCGCTGAAAACTGGTAATGGCGATGCAAGGGCTAATTCTTTGCGTATGCCAAACAGACAATGCTCAGGAACCTACAGAGAACCAGCAAAGCAGACCATGGAGACTTCTGAATACTCTTTGGGTGCGGGACCATAAAAGAAAACACGGAGCATATTGTGCGCTTCCAGCCAGACATAAGCCTTCATTCACGCTGAACATCGGCAGCTGTTCCCTCCTTCCGCATATCAGATGTTTGCGCACCACCAAGTTCTTCCGAGCCATCACACAGCCATACGGTTCAATCGCCGAGTAAGCCGTGCAGTCTGGCAGATCTCTGAACGGCGCGAGCCGGAAAATGCAAACACCGTCTCAGAATAGGCACGCCGCCACGCCGGCCCTAGCGAGCTCGCCTGCCGCGCGGCCGGCTGGGCCACGCCGCCACGCCGACCCTAGCGAGCTCGCCTGCCGCGCGGCCAGCACCGATTCCGGCCGGCTGGGCCACGCCGCCACGCCGACCCTAGCGAGCTCGCCTGCCGCGCGGCCAGCACCAATTCCGGCCGGCTGAGCCACGCCGCCCCGCCGACCCTGGCGAGCTCGCCTGCCGCGCGGCCGGCACCAATTCCGGCCGGCTGAGCCACGCCGCCACGCCGACCCTAGCGAGCTCGCCTGCCGCGCGGTCAGCACCGATTCCGGCCGGCTGAGCCACGCCGCCACGCCGACCCTAGCGAGCTCGCCTGCCGCGCGGCCAGCACCAATTCCGGCCGGCTGGGCCACGCTGCCACGCCGACCCTAGCGAGCTCGCCTGCCGCGCAGCCAGCACCGATTCCGGCCGGCTGGGCCACGCTGCCACGCCGACCCTAGCGAGCTCGCCCGCCGCGCGGCCAGCACCGATTCCGGCCGGCTGGGCCACGCCGCCACGCCGACCCTAGCGAGCTCGCCTGCCGCGCAGCCAGCACCAATTCCGGCCGGCTGGGCCACGCCGACCCTTGCGAGCTCGCCTGCCGCGCGGCCAGCACCGATTCCGGCCGGCTGAGCCACGCCGCCACGCCGGCCCTAGCGAGCTCGCCTGCCGCGCAGCCAGCACCAATTCCGGCCGGCTGGGCCACGCCGACCCTAGCGAGCTCGCCTGCCGCGCGGCCAGCACCAATTCCGGCCGGCTGAGCCGCACCGCCCACGAAACGCATGTCTGATCCTTCGCTGAGCTCAGCTGACGCCCACCGGAGATGGTTGGTGAACCTACCAGAGCCGGCCGGCCGACCCACCGGAGCCGGCCGGCTAACCCATCAGACCCGGCCGGCAGACCTATCGGAGCTGGTCGGTGACCCTACTGGAGCCGGCCGGCTAACCCGCCGGAGATGGCCGGCCGACCCACCGTCGGTGCTGGTCGGTGAACCTACCGGAGCCGGCCGGCTAACCCATCGAAGCCACGTCGGCCGACCCACCGGAGCCGGCCGACCGACCCACCGGAGCTGGTCGGTGAGCCTACCGGAGCCGGCCGGCTAACCCATCGGAGCCGGCCGGCAGACCCACCGGAGCTGGTCGGCGAACCTACCGGAGACGGTCGGCTAACCCATCGGAGCCGCGTCGGCCGACCCACGGGAGCTGGCCGACCAACTCGACGTCAGCCAGCCGGTCTTATCGTGCGCCGGGTGAGTCCAGCCCCGCCCGGCCGAGCCGTCGCCGCCGCCGCTGGCATTGATCGTCCGTGTGCACAGCCATTGCAGGGTGCTTCCTCGCAATGCCCGCCTTCCGCTCCAGACCAGACTGGCGGCCGGTCCAACGGGACGGGCGCGCGCCGAGGACAGCAGGGACGACACGCCGCGCGCAGACGCAGGGACGGCGGGCGACTGCGTGCTTTTCGAACCGACCGGTGCCCGTCGCGACCTGCCGGTGATGCCGAGAGGCACCAAACCCAGCTGGCGTTCCTCGTCAGCCCTAGAGAACACCAAACCACCGAGTGGTGTACCAAACATACGCGTCGCCAGGACCCCAGCGGCGCGCCACAAATTCACCCTCAAGTGTTTGCTCATGTTGCAGCATGTCATTAGCCAGACCGCATTCTGATAGTGAGTTTGAAATTAGCCACGGGGTCCTGCCTCAATGAAGCGATGGTCTCAACCGCCGTCATATCAAGCCAATGAATGGCATATAACACTGCGGGCGCACCACTTCCCAGAAACCAATCAGGCGCCAACGTTAATCCGCTAATAATCATGAAATTGGCTATTCGTCACTGCAGCGGCCAGGGTCAGCAACGGCGCATCGTCCTGCTGGAAAAGCGAGCAGTGTAAGTTCGCGGGGGTCTCAGGCGCCATGATTATCGGTCCAGACGCGCGTCATCCCTCGGCCTCTTCCACCTCACCGCAGTTTACCACTGCCATCACCACCCGGACGAGCCCGGCCGTGCCGTGGCAGCCGGAGCCCGCAGTGCCGTGGCAGCCGCGTGCCGGGTGGGTCGTGGCAGCCGCGTGCCGGGCCGGGTCGTGGCAGCCCGTGCCGGCCGTGCCGTGACAGCTGGAGCCCGGCCGGGTCGGCAGCCGGAGCCTGGCCGTGCCGTGGCAGCCGAGCCCGGCAGTGCCGTGGCAGCCGGAGCCGGCCGTGCCGGTGCAGCCGGAGCCTGGCCGTGCCGTGGCAGCCGGAGCCCGGCAGTGCCGTGGCAGCCGGAGCTCGGCCGTGCCGTGGCAGCCGGATCCCGACCGTGCCGTGGCAGCTGGAGCCCGGCCGTGCCGTGGCAGCCGCGTGCCGCGCCGGGTCGTGGCAGCCGCGTGCCGGCCGCGCCGGCCATCGGCGCGTGCTCGTCCCATCGGTCACGACGCGGTCATCTAGCGACCCTCAACGCCGGCCGCCCGATGCCCGCGAATGGCACGTGACATGTGTCGGCGCGCTAACGCAGCCGACGCAGGGGCGGACCCGTGGTGGGGACGGGTCGTCGGCGGAGACGGCCAGAGCCGGCTGATGGTTTGAATCGCGTTGTCGACAACGTCAAAAGCCGCGGGGGGGGGGGGCGTGGACTTCGCACCGTTGCAGCAAGACCGCGGGTCGACCAACAGGAAGGGCGACTGACTGGCTAACCGGATAACGACCGATCCCGAATCCGGATCCGGATCCGGAATCCTGGCGTCCGCGGAGTCGGATCTCCGATCGCTTGCATTGTGGGACATTTGAGACAGCAGACGAGATTTAAAACGGAAGCATTAGCGTCTGCACATAACGACCACTCAATAGTAGAGGGCAGCTGCAGTTCCGCTGATTGATTATTACAGCCCATTTCATGAAAGCTCAGACAGTCGTTCGGGACTGGGAGCATTTTAGCTCCATTGTTACTATCCGTACGTAGCCCATCTGCTTGCGAAGACCCGGTGAGACTACATGATTTGCACCAGTTGTCGAAAGGTGCTCTATCCCAGATGACATCATCAGTGAAGGGCCAATGAAATATCATCACACAATGTCATCAATGAAAGACAATATCATCAGTGAAGGGCCAAGTGTCATATAGCGGGCAACTACATGTCAGGGACTCCAATGGAAATTGAAACGGAATTACCCGGGGGTTTACGACCCCGAAGGGCCAGAGAGTTGTCAGCTCAATGCAGGGCATCCGATAGCGAACTGAGGACATTGCGGACGACGAAAAGGGTAGCGGTGACCCCGCTTGCTCCGATACACTGCCATCGAGCGCCTCCGCTCAGCACGCTCATGCTATGCTTCAGCCATACCGCAAGCGCAGCTGTGTGCCGAGAACTGCGTTCTCGCATACGACTTTCCAACGGCAGTCTCTTCAGGCAGCAGTAATGTGATTCCGTGATGCTACCATGCCTTATCTTGATGGCTATTGACGTCTGAATGCGACAAGGTGTGGAATCGGCGCGTTCTCCATCAACGCCGTCTTTGAGTTGGCGCGTCGGTGACCCAGAACATGATCATATAAGAACGGCCGCTTGCGCTGCCCAAATGGCGGAACGTCAAAACCCGGGGCTGCGAGTATCAGACGAGGACATCACCATCAACAGACGGCACCGGCAAACGATGTGGCGACGGCTGCCAACTTACCGGCGTCCGTATCCATAGCATCTGCCGGACGTTTCCATGGTGGCCCGTCTCCCTGCTGGGCAAGCAGAAACACGGCGTCAGCAGAGACCGAAATCCAGGCATCGCTCCCGTCGTCGACACAAAGCAGCGGACAGGGGAAGAAGAGACCAGGATATGGCGCCTTCCCCGCACAGCGGTACGGGAGATCAGGATGCGGGATATTCCGCCCACTTACACAGCGACAGTGGACAGCGGATGTGGTGGGTGTGGGTGTGGAAGGGGGATCGAACGCCCCTCCCCCCCCACAGCGACAGAAATACGTCGCTGGGAGCTGAGGGATCCCATCGACTCATGCAGCGGCAGCAGACAAGCCGGTAAAGAGACGTCTCACCTACTCACGCAGCCCCAGCGGACAGCTGCCAGCGCGGCAGGCATTACGTCCGCGCGCTCCAGAGCACAAGAGCATCAGACAGCGGCCGTCAGCCATTCCGTTCGTTTTGCACAGCGCGGGAACAGTGCGAGGGAGAGCCAATCCCTTTCGCCGTCTCGCGGAGCAGCGGCGGGCAGCGGCGGCTCAAGAAGGGGGGGGGGGGGGGGAGGCAGACATCCCACTTATCCGCGCGCCGGCCACCGGGCGCCGCCGGCCCGCCAACACACATCTCATCAGCGCCGCGCCGTGGCCAGCTGCCGGGCGTACACAGTGCAGTGTCCGCGCCCGGGCCGCAGCACAATGACTCATCGATTGGCACCCCGGCGACTAATGGGCCCAGTGTCGGACCGATAACCCGACACGGGGCAGGCCGTCGGCCAGGCCGAGCAGGCGCCGTCGGCGCGGCGCTGGCCGCGTCGCTGGCCTCAGTCACCGGCCAGCGGCACGGCCGGGCGCAGATGACGGCTCCGTCTGGAGGATCCCCTGCGGAGGCCGTGACCGCCGTAAAATGAGGCGGAGAAGCCTCCGAGAATGACTTTGATGAAGGGCTGATGCCCGTCATTAAGCCGCGATGACGATGGACGAATGGCGACGCTGAACGGAAAAAGTGATTGCGTTTTGGCAAAGTTGGTTTTAAGAAATTGCAGGAGCATTCAAATGAGCGTGCGACTGATTTCATAACGTTGGACAGCCTAAGCAGTCCAGTGCAGTTGCTGAAACAGAACTGGCCCCGGCGGCATGCTAAATCGGTTACTGACATTAAGGCGGCCCCTATCACAAAAACGGACATAACCGACATGAAACGGCCCATATCCACACGCACCAGCAAAATGACTCTAATGACCAATGAAGGCCAAGATTTGTGAAGGCTTGGTGGTGCTCGTCCCCTGGACAGCTGTTCGTCCTCATCCCCAGCCCCCCCCCCCCCCCTCACGGCGGCTGGCACCGCCGAGGCGCCGGCTGCTGCTACCCCACCCCCCTCCCCCCGCCCGGGCCACCGCTTGACAATCAGTGTAATGGGTGCGTGGATTGAGGGTCGCCCGTCACGCCGCCTTTCAGCGGCCGCCTCGCCGGCCAGCGCGCGCGGACGCAGCCGGCTCGCTCGCCGGAGCCGACGGCGTTCCTCATGTCAGACTGGTGGTGAGCGTCGCGCCCGACCCGGCGCCGGACATCCCCCCCCCCCCCCCCTCGGGGGCCCGCCCGACCAGGCAGACGCTGCAGACCCCTATGCAATGAATACAGTGAATCGTCAAGTCGCTCGTCCAAAAAGACGCAGCTGAATAGGTGTGGCTAGAAAACCGTGTCGCCAACATCGCAGGCAGACTCCATAGTCTCGGTCGCAGACCATACGCGCTCGTTTCACATCCCGACGTCGCTGACTGTAGGAGGGGGAGGGTCATGACCCCAGCGGACTATCGCTGGGCATGCTGAATCGGTTACTGACAGCCAATGCAGGCCCTATCACAAAAAACGGACATAACAGCGACCTGAAACGGCGTCAAATCCACACGCACCAGCGAAATGACTCCAATGACCAATGAAGGCCAGGGTTGTGAAAGCCAAGGCAATGATGGGCAAGGCCAACGCGGTCTTGCGCCCGGCTCTTAAACTGGCAGACTTACCTCAGGCTCGCACTTCTGAAGTTGCAAGTACATCATAACTGCTCTATAATGCTCTTTGGGCTTCTAGCCGTTCGTGTATACCGAGCTGCCTGTTATACGCAAGGACTTTGGCCAATGAATACTGGTCTACGTAACGCCCGCATGCCCGTTTTTCCACACTCTCCAAAGCTCCCCTGCACAGCACCGCAGGGAGGCTTTAGGCCCCGGCCGCGGCGTCACTCTTTGTGAAAGTGCCCGTGAGTGTCGCATTACGGCCGTATGTGCCGGGCGCCATTCACCCGCGCATCGATCCCGGAGCCGACTCCGCACTCCGCGCTCCGCCGCGTCCGCGGAGCCGGCTCCGCCGCGACGAGCGGCCAGTGTCGGCGCGCTCGGCGCGCTGACCGACAGAGCGCCGCCCGCTGCCCGTCCGCGGCGGGCGGGGCGGCGGCGCGCACTGCCGCTGCCGCCGCTTCGGTCCTCCCAGAGGTGCGCACCGGCCCCCTGCCGTCGCCACACCTGGCCGGCAATCCAATTACACCGAAGACACTCGGGCCCAGCCGATCGGGCCCAGTTTAATGAGCCTGTAACCGCCGGCTTACGACGTCTGTCGGCGACGACTCGCCGCCACGCCGGAGCGAGTTAAGCGGCGGACGGCGGCGCAGGCGGAGCTCACGGGTCGTGACGGCCGCTGCTCGGACCAGCTCATGGTCGTGACGGCCGCTGCGCGCTGCTCGGGCCAGCTCATGGTCGTGACGGCCGATGCTCGGACCAGCTCATGATCGTGGCGACCGCTGCTCGGGCCAGCTCATGGTCGTGACAGCCGCTGCTCGAGCCAGCTCATGGTCGTGACGGCCGCTGCTCGGCCAGCCGTTCGACCGTTATTTCTGCTTCACATTCATGGGGGTCGCGGGCCGCTCACAAGTGCAGAGTGCATCGAGCAAAGGTCTGACGGGGGAGCTGTTCACCGTAAGTAGTGGTCGCAGTTGGGCAAACTACATGAGTTTCGTTTCATGGATTCTGGACGTGGTCAGAGGCGTCTGTGCGCAGAGGAGTTATTTGAAGATGGCAGGTAACATCGTTGTGAGGGTATGTTCAATGCACATCAATAAGCTGATCCACAGAACAAAATGGCTCTATTGGCGGCCTTATATAGTAAAATATTACTGCATGAATATGACGCCTCGTGACGAAAACCATGCAGCCGGCGCAAAAAAGCGACATAAAAAGCGTCCTACAGCGTCATAAATATTACCACAAATACCATTACCTTGTCCATCACTTTCTGGCTAGGGAAGAGAAATGCATGCAAAATGACCAGCGAATAACGTCAAGTTAAGTCCTGCGCTACATTGACAAAGGAGCCAGCAACGGCCATCAAACGTGCTGGACGTGCACAAACGCTCAAAAGGCTTGAAGACTTCCCCAATGCCAGTTCATGTGATTAAAGCACTCATACAAAGTCGAAAGAAGCGTGGCGTAATCATGAACTCTCACGGGGATCTTGCATGAAAGTCAGCTTTCCTGGGCGTCTTCAACAAGACGAATTGCCAGAGAAATAAATACAACGGTGAAAAGGCATCGCCAAAAAGTATTATCAAGCTACTGGAATGCAAACGAAAAAATCCAGCAACGACCATCTTTACCTAATACGGAACGCACTGACCCGTCCATTCCAGCAGCTAATAATCACAGTACAAGGACAACCAATAAATCATACGATCATGAAACAGCGCCACATTCCTTCCGGGGGTTTCAAACTGACCTGAATCAAAATAAATCGGAATAGGGAGTTAAATGGCATGAGTCTCCACACTCGCACTCAATAATCGGAGTAGAATTCACCGCATGCGCTATCATGTCCGCAAAAATGATAAACAACCTGCGGATGCCGTCTCCATTCCGGCAAAAAAACGATAAAAGAGCCACGAGAATACGAATGAATAATTAAGGACTGCACCGTAAATGCCATAATTCATGCAAACAGTCAGCACAATACACATCATCATGAGACGAGGAACTATTTATTTTAGGCTGCCTCGATTTGAATTACGGAGATATATAGCTAGGCACAATCACAGGACAAATGAAAGAAAATGTACAGAAAAGGGCACGATATCGTGTCACGCTAAAAAAACAAAAACATCCCTAACCCCAAACGTGCCGACCAAATGCGCCAGTGCGCAGCGCACTGTACTCCAGTCATATTTGCCGTGCATTCATTTTCTTTGTTTCCTTGTAAACCCTGGAACGGAAGAAACAAACATCAAAAACGAAGCCCAAGCAATTTTAAATGGAATGGCCAGGGCTAGAACACGCACGCGGGAGGGGAGCGTAATGGTCGAGTGGCTAGCGCCTTGGACTCCCACGTGGGGAGTTGAGCTCGAATCCCAGTTGCGCCATAATCGCTGAGCGCTGATATTGCCAATGCCGTCGCCGGCGCTCCATAAAAACGTCAGCCAAGAACAAAAATCATTTTCCCAACATGGGTTTTTGACGGGTCGTTTATTATCCGTATCACTATCGCTTATCCTCGACACATTGAGCTCTCGGGGCGGCCGCCACCATTTCAAACGTGTGGCAACTGTCCGTATGAATAAACGAATAAAAAAGAAAATCTTTAAGTAAAAATAAAGAAGAAAGCTGACATTGGCGAGACGAAGTCCCTTGAAGGTGGAACGTCTCCGACAGCGGCATGAAGCCTCGCGTGTGACCAATGCGATCATAGCCGCTTTGTCAGCACATGCCAACTAACTTAGCCGCCCCGGCCTTGACGCTCCGGCACCTGTCTCCATCCGCGCCGCCGTACAGTCACGGCGGGAGGATTGTTCAGGTTGTCAGGTTGGTTGAATATCCCCCTTCCCATGTGCGCTGAGAGCAATGCAGTTGACTTCGAACTACATCACTATTGTCGTTCAGCTCACTGTCAAATATGCAGTTTCAAAATGAGGCATCGGCAAATGCTGGCAAAATGATGTAAATTGAATCGCGTGTCCTGTTCGTGCCAATCCAGTCACATTCATCTGCCACAATAACGACAAAAGATCCCCTGAATGTCCGCCCGATTGTCGCTCTGACGTGCGTTCCGTGTTGGACAGAATCCATATTGAAATTGGCATCACAGTTACAGCAAATGCTAAAACGTTAGGTATGGCGTCGGGAAGGCATATCGCGTGCAATACCACCTGAAAATGGGGCTTTAGGTATAAAAGCTGGCCGACAGATTTGTGGAAAATGCCACACAAGTGCAATTCCCACAAATTGCAGAGTCAGTTCGTGAGCCACAAGCTCTTCACTTACCAACCACGGCGGATATTAATTTCAACCTCCATCGCACGTCAACTGGTTAGAATTAACCCAGCGGTACCAATATCAAAACATTAGCCCGAAACCCGGGCTGTCGCGCCTCGCTGCATCGCCTCGCGCCAGCTGCGAGCCGGCCCGGAGGGTGCGGGCGCCCCGGCCGGCGGCGGAGGGCCACGGGCCGGAGAGCCGCACGACAACACTGCACGCCACCGCGACCGCTGGGCCTGGAGCGGCACGCACGGCCGACCGCGCTTCCCCAGGGGTCGCCTGGCGACGAAGCCGGCCGGCTGGCCGCGGCACAGGACCGGAACCGTCTGGGTCTGGTCCGCGGGACCGGCTGAGGTCCCAGTCCGGTGCGACCAGCTGGAGTCCCGGGCCCCGGCTCCGGCATCGAGCATGGCCGTTAGACGGAGTCAGCTATCTTCAAGGGCCAGGGTCGGGGACGGCAGCCCGGCGCGCTGGGCCGCCGTGCGTGAACGTAATCCGCGTAGTCGCGCGGGGCGAGCGCTCAGTCACTGAGCGCGGCTAGCAACTCCCGCGGGAGCCGGAGCCGACCGCGGGAGCCGGAGCCGAACGCGGCGCGTCCCTCGTCCTATCCCAGCGCGACGCTCACCTGTGCCTGGCGTGCTCTCTCGGGCCGCAGGCCGCCCCTGCCCGGCCGGGGCACCGGCATGAGCTCACGGCGGCGGCCGCAGCTCTTACCAGCCCGGTCGGGCTTTTGATTAAAGAGCGGACGAACGTCTGGACGAAAGGGTGTCATTGAGTTCATCGCTGTATGAATGCCTTCATTCAACTTGATTTGTGGTCCGGGGCACCATACATAAACCAAGATTGCCTGAGCTCAAATGCCACGCGGTTGTGCCCATTACTCACAGTACTATATATAGTCATGAAGTCCCCTAAGGCAATTGGCGTGAAAGAGCTAACCGAAAAAGTAGCCAGAACCACCACTGCTATAATGCAAATCCTCTGCAAAGGAACACGCTCACCCTTCCGGCGGGATTTTCCTAGACAGGTCAATCTACTAGCTTTTGATGGCACCCACAACACTTTTGGTACATAAGACATCAATGCGATTCATTCGGTACTGCGGGAAGTCAAGTATCTGCAAGTAAGCAAGATGGCAATACCTTGCTCAAAAGTCACGTCAGTCAATGCAGGCATGCAATGTGGCCTAAGACATTAGACTTGATGCGACGTTCAAAGTACCGTTTTAAGTTAACGTACAACGACATTTCAAGATATAAGTTGACATCTCACTTCGATAATGGAACCCGGAGACCGAAGTTGCGTCCGGTCTAGCCACGTGTCCGTGGTCAGCACCGACCACATTGTCTTCAACGAACAGGCTCGATCGAACTGACGTATATCGATGTCGTTCGTTTTCCACCGAACTTCACGCTGGCAGACAAGTTCCCGATCAGTCGTCAGCACCAGCTGAGGCCGGCAGCGCAGCGTCGACCCGTTCCTTTAATGGTGTGGGAGCTGAGCCGTTCTGCACGGCGCCGGACGGCCTCCGCACAGTTTCCGCATCACTGCTTTCATTTCTGAACGCGTGGCGAGAAATACGACCCCGTTTGCGAGGAAGCCCGCGACAACACTAGCACGACGTCGGCCGCCGACGCACCGTCGCTGTGGCGCGGTGCTGACCTGGTGCCGCCGACGGGCGGGGCTGGGCGGGGCGAGGCGAGGCGGGCCGGGCCGCGGGCGGCGCACCGGCTCGCTAACTCGCGGCTCTGCTCCTGCCCCGCGCCGGCCGACCGGCCGGTTAGAAGAGCAGCCGGCCGCCGCGGCGATCAATAGGCGCTCCATATCCAATCAGTCGGCGGCGCCGGCGGTCGCGATCCGACCCCGGCGGCGACCGCGGCGCGAAACAGCGCTGCGGCTGGCCACGGAGGCGCTCTCACAGCCGCCGGCCGGGCGGGGGCGGAGGGCGCGAGGGACGGCGCGGGGCTGGAGCCCGGGCCGGCACACGCAGGTCGACGCCGCTTTGGTGAAGGCGCGGCCGCCCAAGCCGAGCAGCAGAATCGGCAACGGCGACTGCTAATCAAAATTAATCATGCTCGTGCTCCGTCACAATCAATTCATCACCCTCGACGTTTCGCACGACACCTTTCAGCCACTGAACATCGTAATGGATTTAATAATCCGGCCCGCCGCTTGCTTCACGCTCAGTTTCCCAGCGGCTACCATGCGCAGCTTGTTCGCCACTTCATCAGGAGCTCCCCCGGCACAAGCTGTCACGCCAATCTCTTCATATCATGCTGATGCTCTGCGACTGTCGCACCGATACATCATGATTGATCAAGCCTGCGCAACTCTTCTACAATATTACTAATGGAACATTGTCTACTGAAAGGTCACGATCATCCACACATGCATTGTTCTTGGCACACGTCCCAACCACGTTTGGTCCAATTTTCAGGTCAGGCACTCGACCGAAATACGATCCCAACATTTCAACCTTTCAGCCATTCGGACGGATAAAACCTCCGAACTGAACGAAACTGACGGCAGCGTATAACTTCCCCACTCTATCCCAGATGTCATATCAAGCGTAGCCCAGCCTCCCCCGCTTGAGGCTGTCAAAACAGACAGCGGACACCAAAGCGCTTTCAACTGACTGACACAGAGGGCTTTTTATCGCAAACATCAGCGTAACAAGTTGGCTGGAAAATACTGAACAAAGGATTTCCGACAACCAGTCTATTGCTGATGGGATCGATGGCAGACTCAACGTAGGTCTTCACGATGGTTCAGCAACAGGTTTCCAACCAAGGCGATCATGAACCTAACTCTGGACATTCTGGTCTGGTCCCCAGTCACACCACCCACATCTACATTCAACTCGACTGTGACCTACGTGGCATTTGTTTTATACATGCTGATGGTCCACAGCCTTACATGTCACGTGCGATGTGCTACAACAGGCCCATCACGTACCTGGCCAAATCCGCAGCACGCCCAACAGTAATGCAGCTGCGAAAAGCGGCCACGGAATGGAAACTGGGCTACCAGCTCAGCCAGCAGACGACAAATACCCATAAAGCCAATAAACACAGCATGTCAAACGCACCAACGCATCCGCAAATGTTGACAGCGAAAACGAGACGGGGCAGGACGAGAACAGCCAGTCGGAATGCGCCATGAATACTGAACGGCAGAGGTCGGTCAATACCTTCATCTCCAGCAATGAAACACTCTTGGCTCCATATCCGGTATTTGTGAACATCTAAGAAAGCTAATGGCACGGTTCAACTAAAGCTTCGCCAGTTTCTGACGTGCATTCATATGATACAGACTGCCTCCGGCACATCATGCATATATGCTTTCATGTGTCAAGGACGTGAAGTGTCAAAAATGTGTAGTCTTTTAAAGTTCGTTGCCAAAACTTCACCCTCGCTAAGCGCCATTGCATACCTGGCATCACAGCTAACGCTCGTCTGTTCTGCCATACCTCTACAGTGACACAGAAGTAATTGGCGTGGAAAAAGAAAACACACGCGTCGGATCACAATAAGTGGGGGCAAGGGTGAGGTAGCATGATAAGCATTCAATGATGCAACTGTTGATCTCGAACGACTGTGCGCTGACGAATGGAAAGAAGCTGCAGGCCTTAACCTCTGCGTCTCGACTCCAGGAAAGCACCTGTTGAAGCCGTTATTTGCTATGCAACGCGCAACAGAGCTAATGCTAATTTTTCTCCGAAGAAGATGCCAAATGCTGGGTTCTACCCAGGTTTGGGATGTTCGTTGTCCACCCTGAGCCCCGTTCTTCATAAACCGATGGAAGCCCATTTCCCTGCTTGAGTGCAGGCCTATTCCTCACTATGACGTCAAGCCCAAGCCCATTCCCTACATGGCCAGAGACGAAGTGAGCGCGTTGTTTATAAGTCGTCGGCGCTAACATAGCAACGCATAGCAACGGTCGATGCGCTGT